ATTTTTGCTGATATTATTATTGTTACCATATAAATAATAAAAAATTCTCGATTTTTTTTATTCATATTATTATTATATATTAGTCTTAGTATTATTATTTTAATAATAGTAATTTTAAAAATATTGTTATTGGTGTTTTCTTGGTATTTTTCTCATATTATTATTATTATTATTATTATTATTGTTGTTGTTGTTGTCACCTTTATTATCGAAGTAGGCCTAGTATTATAAGTATCATAATTATTATTATTATTACTAATTAGTATTACTATTACAGTATTATAAAAATAAACATTATCTTTAATTTATTATTGCTATTATCACCTTCAATGTTATTATCACTAATTAGTATAATTAAAATAGATATGTAAATATCGTTATCATTACCATATTATTACTATTAGTATTGTTAAAATAAATATTACTATTAATATTGTTGTTGTTATCACCTTTATTATCGTTATTATGACTAATTAGTATTATTAAAGTAAATATTTTAAAAGGACCGACGTGTCACTGGTGATTCACGTCATTGGATGCATCCTTGTCACTGACGGGTTTCAAACATAGCCCCCAATGGTCGAACAAATATGAAGGACTGTCATTTGATTTTAGTCGGATTCAAAATAAATTTTTAACATTTAAAAAAATCATAATGTGGTTTTTCTATTTCAATTTTTTATGATTAGGTCTACAGTATGTACTCATGTCAGTCAGTGTTTCAACATGAACAAAATAAAATATTAATATATGTGTTTTTATTAATTAATAAGATTGCTTAATTAAATTGTTAATGTTACAATTGTCAGATTTTATTCCATTCTGTAAGTGGCGGGTTTTCTCTGTTGAATAAGAGTACAGTGTGAAGAAATGTATACAACGATCTCACGACGATGATCAGAATTTTACTAATATACTGTGTACTTCATTTTAATCCTATTGAAGAAAAAGGGTGCAGAAACTGGAATATTTACATTTCATTTTAATTATAAATAACTTGTGGCCGAGTTGACTGCAGCCGAACTTTTTGTGGCCGAGTTGATTTGTGGCCGAGTTGACTTGTGGCCGAGTTGACTGTGGACGAGTTGACTTGTGGCCGAGTTGACCTGCTTCCAGCTAGCGGCCCTCCTCCTACATAAAACATAGACCTACTAGGCTACCCCTACAACAGCTACGGTTTCACTGGTTAGTTAGATAGGAGAATTAGCTACAGCAGACAGTTAGGCCTAGATGATAGTGAGAAGGTATCCATTATGTGCATATGTTATTTATATTTTACTCACGTTGGAATGCTACTTTTTTAACGTTGACGAAAAACTGCATACACCAAAGACAACAAAATATGTAGCAACTTTCGTAAACACACGTCGCACTCTCTCTCGAGCGTCTCGTCGGAGGATGGTGAGGTCATAGGTTGGATAAAGAACCAGTCGATATCATACTTAATTTTGACTAAACATTTTATTTAACTGTTTAACATATATATGTATACAAATATTCATAGGTAAATAACATTTTATATAATTTTAATATTTACTACAATTCATATTTTAAAGCTGGTTTATTTTAATAAATTGTGAACGTTTATATTAACTGCCTAAGCGGTCTGCTCTCAAAAAACAACACAGCGAACCTACCTGTGTATACCAACGCTTTGCTGAACGTTAAAGAAACGTACATTTCAGAAAGGTTATTTTCCGGCTAGTTGAATCTTGGAAATCTGCTTCTGAACAATGGCGTAAGTTGTACTTATTTGCAATTTAGAATATTAAAAACGATATTGGTTGTTTAGTTTTATATTTAGCTGATTTCTGGTGGTTATATTTGTCTTTTACTTTAGGTAAGCAATGAAAGATTCTTGTATTAAATACGAGAATCTTTCATTGCTTTGGACGGTAGGATCCGGTACAGTGCCTAGAACTGGAGTCTAGTTGTGTAGGCCTAGTCCAGGCCTCTCTTTGCCTAGGCCTACCCACCCTACTTCTGTTTGATTGGCGTCTTACCCTAAGTGGGTATATTTCTCTTTGTCAGCCGGTCTGTATAGCACGATAATTTGGACAACTGGAACCATTCACTTCCTTAATCTTAATTTCTTAAAAAGTATGGGAAACGTTTGTTTTCCAGCATTGCAACCTAGCCTAGCCTACTACTACTACTACTCTACAGGATGGTACAAACCATCCATGCATTTTAATAAATTTTAAAAAAAATTAAATTTTCCTGTTTCAGTGTGAATGCTTTCAGACATTTATAAATGGTATTATTATTATTGTCTGCTTTCAGGTTGGCCAAGCCAAAGAGTGAACTTACATCCGAGGAGCTAGCTAAGCGAGAGGAAGAAGAATTCAACACCGGTCCTTTATCTGTGCTTACTCAGTCTGTCAAAAACAACACACAAGTTCTCATCAATTGTAGAAACAACAAGAAACTTCTTGGTAGAGTTAAGGCTTTTGACAGGTATGTCAGTCAAACGAATTTGATATATATACTCATTGTATGACTTAGATATTTCACTGTCAATTATTAATTTACTATGCATTTAGAAGTTCATTTGATACTCTGTGGAAGTAGTCCATTCCAAAACAAATTCCTGACAGACCAGTTTCATTCCCAAACCATTTACACCCAATCAGGTATCAATTTATATTCCCGGATAAAGGAGGAAACACAACAATCAAATCTTTCCCAATATTGGCAGAATGCAAATCCTTTTTCTTTCTTTTGTATTACAGCGCAAATTTACTGTATATATGCACACATACATTTCGGAACTGTTTCTAGATTGAAGTCAAATATAATTTTTACTTGTTCTCCGTTGAAGCGCATTGAGACTTTCCTGCTGAATGCGCTATAAAAGAATGGAGTTATTATTATTTTTACAGTACACACATTTACTTAATCAGTTTTTTGTTTGATTTTTTTTCTCAGACATTGTAACATGGTTCTGGAAAATGTAAAGGAAATGTGGACAGAAGTTCCAAAATCTGGCAAAGGCAAGAAGAAATCTAAACCAGTAAACAAAGATCGCTACATTTCAAAGATGTTTCTGCGGGGAGACAGTGTCATTCTTGTGCTCAGGAATCCATTGGCAACTGCCAAGTAGTGAAAAGGACTAAAAGACTTTTATTCAACTTGAAGGGATGCGTTTCTTACTTAGTACAGAAAAGACTCATTTCTGTTGTACTATAGGATTTAAGCAAGCTGGAGTAATGCAGCTTTGAATTCTATAGGTACTGACTTGATATTCGGAATTAAGTGTTGGATCGCCGCTCAAAGGCTAGCAGCGAAAGAAGCTGTCACAGGTGGCATCGTCTGGTGATAAGCTAATATTTAATGCAGAATATGCAGTACAAAAAGAGATCAGTAACAAATTTGATGCATTAAAACAATGCATTAATCACAAGTAAAAATGAATAAAGTCATTTTAACTTCCTTCATTGTTTAAAAGGGTTTTTACAAACTGTTTCACTTGTACTAATATTTTTTTGTTTGTTTATTGATTAATGATTGTCTCAGAAATCACACCCCCCCCCCCCCTTTCCACCTTGTAAAAAACACACAATTGAGACATTTGTGTATATATGTGTTTTGGAAATTTCTCCTATCATTTTTGTTTGCATCGATACCTGAATAAAATGCCATGTTTGTACAGTTTTTATTGACAAGTCATTATTGGATGAAAAAACATGTTAGCTAAAGGTATTTGTATTGAATAAATTGTGTAATGTACAGTAGTAATTTGTTTGCATTCAATATTTTGGAGCAATTCATTCAAGGAGGAATTCATGCACACAGCTCATAAGAATAAAGCTTATGTTTTTTACAGTGCTGTCGAGACACTGCATGCTTTCTATGAATCTAAATAGCCTCAACTAATAATTCAGCAGTAGATACTTGTTTAATGAATTCATATACTGTATTTCAATTATTATTCAAAAAAAGAGTTTAACGACAATTAAAACATTTTGTTCCTATAGTGTTTATAAAGTTCCGTATTAAATATTAATATTTTACCATAAACAAGTTACTGTAAATGTATTTCAAACGACCAGCTGCTACAGATAGAGGGCGGCAGACTGATATCTATAAGCTTCAGGCGGTAGCATTAATAACTATTTTACTACCTATGACTGAAATAAATCCAAAAAATATACATCATAAAACTATATACAGTATTACATACATTGTCTGAACTTGATGTGTATATATTATGTCCTAAAAGAAAACACTTGTCAGAACATTTCTAACCCCTGTCCGAAAATTCCCTTGTGGTATTATAATACTTCATTTAATACAGTATCCGTTTAATTTGATAATATTCGTGTGATCATCTGATTCAATCATTGACGAATAGAAAAAGGACATCTTGTCATTTAGGTTAATGTATATTTGTAAAATACAGACACTGAAAACCGAGTGGTATTAATATTATGGGCAGAGTGCCCGCCCCACACACCCGATGTTCCCTCCTCCCCACCAACCCCGGCGTGACATTCATTGTAAACGCCGATGAAAAACAAACTTATTTTTGTATGCCTTATCAGAAAAAAAATATTCTGCTATGCTGCTGCCTTCTTAGTAAAAATATTCAGAACAGGATTTCATGAAATTGCATCTACAGTATAGGCTATTAATTAAGGGCCGTTCGAGCGAAAAGCGCAAACCGTATTCCGATGAATTCACCGGTTAATCGCGCCGAGCACACAACTTGTGGTCCACCGTTTTCGAGTGTCTCGATCGTCGATCGTCTTAAAGTATATTTCAGCATCATACTGCATTTTATATATACCGGCCCTCTAATGATAAAAAATGAATAGTTTTATCAGCCATAAACAATTAAAACATAACTAATATACTAAGATACCTCCTTGGATGAATAGGGGCGGATCCAGAGATTACCAAAAAAAAAGGGGGAGGGGGAGAAGTGGGACAAATCGAGATAATACTATCGCGAACTTTTTGTGTTCTAGACGCCCGAAAATAACATCTAAGGCATTTTAAAGCGATTTTTTTTTCTTTCTTTTTTTACCTGCCCCCGACGCCCTAAATCCGCCTCTAAGGCGTTTTAAGCGATTTTTTTCCTTTCTTTCTTTCTTTTTTTTACCTTCCCCCGACCCCCTAAATCCGCCCCTGTGAATTAAGACTCCCTTTTCATTTAATAGGTTACGTTACTTTCAAATTACACTGTACTTTTATAACAAAATAGGGCCTACTATAGCATCGAAATAAATTATTATAATTATTAGTTGAAATTAAAGTAGTCTGGAATAAAACTTAAATGTCTTTTTCAATATCATAATTAGAATAATTGATGGGATTGACTTTGGGCCCCGCGTGATGGCGCGTGGTCATGCAAAACTGCGTCAGAGCGTTGCAAAAGCGCGCCCTCAATCGGTCCTACTGCCATGGCAACAGCAAGCCCTTTATTTTAGCCCTCCAGAGTCTCAGAGCAGCCTGCTGTGCGGTGGTCTAAGACGATTGTGTGGAAGGTGTAGATAATAGGAAGAGCACGCTTTGGTATTTATCGAATAATTTTCATAACTTAATATTTTTATAATAAATCATAAATAAATGATTGTTGTTTGACATTGCTTTGTTTTCTTATAAATCTTTTTCCATGGTCCGGATATCCCGTTCAAAAGTTTATTGTTGCTAAGTCTGTACTTAAGCAAGGCACCGCCACCGGCCTGGTGTACAGCGCCGGTCAATAGAATGGCCGCATATATAGGCTAAGTCCTATGACTAGTCTTTCTAATTAAATATGCTATAATTACTATTACAGAATTAACAGCACTTTTCATTTCCTTTCTTAACCATTAATATTATTCTCTTAATTTCCTTTCTGTTCTCTCGCCTTTATTTTATTTCCCTTTCCTCTTTATGTTTTTATTGTATTTTCACTTTTCTCTTTCCTTTTCTGTTTTCCCCGTTATTTACATTTCTTTTTATTTTAGCAAGTAAAAAAAAAACTATTGATTCAGACAGGTCTTTAGGCCATATGTACTTTTTTAGCAATTTTTTTTTTGTTATACTATAATATTTTTGTTAGTATGATTGTCATTATTTCGTTATTAATTAGATACAGGACAATGGGTTGTATGTTAAGAATTTTGTGATCGCTCTGCTAGATAAAGATTTGCTTCCATCTTGAATATGCAGTATTGCATGTTATAACAAATTTGGATATGCAAGAACAAATTCAAAGCCAGATATCTTCCAAGCCACTATCATTATCATGTATTATTAATTACTTAATTAAATTACTGACTAATGGTGGCCTAGGCAATTTTATTTAATATTCATTAATAATTAATATAATACTAGGCCTAATTATTGTTTGTATACTGAAATTGGAAAATAAATTATCATTAGAAAATATTTTATAATACAGAACTATGGCTGCGCAGTGCTTAGGAAGTTTTGGAAGCCATAAATGGCGGTATCACCAATACCTTAAGGAAAAATACTATCAAAACCTTCCAAAGGACAGAGAAGGTGATGAAGGCATTCATGGATTTAGCAAGGAGACAGTGTGGGTTAATAAACGATACATCCCAACAGATTTGAGAAGCACAGCACCAGTAGCCAGACACAAGCTGATGACTCCCGATCAGCTTCCACAGGCAGAAAAACACTGGGTTCCCGATGGAGAACAATCCCTCAGGAGTATATCCCGAGCCAGTGAAGAGACGTGTATCTATAGATCACAACCAAGCACAAGATCCGAGCAGTGGTCCACGTTAAGACAAATGCTCCCATCGTATGGCACACCTATCAGGAAAGGCCCCCCTAATTGGGGGACAGGCATGGCACTTCCGCCTGTAGTAACACCAAAAAAACAATCACGATTTCCACACATCAACAGCCCAATGACCAAGTAAGTAGCTTTTCTTCATACAATACCAAATATTTTCACTTACAATCTGAATAATGCCTCCCAGATGCGCACTTGTTTAGAGATATAAATTCTATTTTGGGTAAACGTCTCGGCGCTTAAGCAGTAGTAACATTACCCAACATGCTGTGATATCACTTCAAGACGATAACCGATTTCTCACAAAATTAAATACTAAAAATGCAGCAAGTCTGTCAGATAGGGCTTATCACAACATGTGGTACAATTAAAATAACCAGAAATTTGTAATAAGCGACTCTCTTGAAGATGCGCCGCACCAAAGTCCCAAACATTTTATTGAAGCACCGTGGTTCTTATTTTGCCATTTATGGTATTGATGAGTATAAGACAACAATGGAAATATGCAAATGTTTTGGGAGCTCCCCAAGTTTCATTTTGAATTTTTGCTGTGTGCGTATCATTACTGTAATGTGTTTTGTACTTGTTTCATCAAAATTCCCCATCAATAAAATCATGTGTTTTAGCTGTAGTATAGTAAATAGATTTTACAAAATGATAATTTTGCTTTTTCTACATTTATTTTATTTTGACAAACACAGCTAAAGTCACTGATATTATTTATCATTACAGATACACTGATGACATGCATTTAACAAATAGGTTGTTCAGATTGCACTAGACCACCTGCTGAACTTGACTCTAATCAAGTAATATGGAGCAAACAAGGAAACGTTTAAAATGCCTAATCATGTTTTGAAGTTGCAACAAAAAGATCAATAACTTTCAAATAATGTATATCTTGTTTACATACAAGTTATTGTAAATCACATATTTTTATAGGCATGATCGATCACGATGCATTGTTTTTTGTAAGCACAAATTCTGTGTTTATGTATTTTTGCTATAATGTTTTGCAAAATACTTTTATATGCCAAAGAAGTATTAATGAGACAAGTGCATGTGCAATTCTGGAATTCAAAGTGTGCCTTGCTTTTTACAAGTATTTTCATAATATAATGTATAAATTCATTGATGATATTGAGTTTGATGTAAATAATAAGAGAAAATTACATGCCATCTTTCCATTTTTTGTTGTATTAAAATGATAGAAAATATGTATATTGCATTTAATAGTTTCAAAGACATCACCTATCAAACCTATGAATATAATCTTTACCATTTTTGCAAATTATTTTCTATATTGTGAAGAAAATTCATCTCGTAAACCTTTGTACTCAGGCGCTGTCGTCTATGAATATTTGAGGATAGTGCATGGCGTAGAGGGGGGGGGGGGGAGGTGTGAATGCAAACAGCTGTAGGATATAACAAAGGTAAAGTTAAAGAACATAAACATAAAGAAATACATTGAAATATAAAACATGTCATATGGGGCTTGCCATGCCAACACCAGCCTCAGTGACCAAATCAAGAAAAAATACTTTTAATATTTTAATATATTCATATTATATATATATATATCTATATATATATATATATCTATATATACATATATCTATATATACATATATCTATATATATATCTATATATATATAGATATATATATATATCTATATATATATATATCTCTATATACACTATATAGATTAAAAGGCAAAATACTGGAAAACAACAATGCTGTGGGAAACAATGGCTGGATCTCAGTAGAGATACAAAAATGATAAGCAACAGCTAAAAAGTAAACGTAAGTAAACGTTTACTTTTTTCTCTATATATATATTCTCCTTAATGAAAGCTTTAAAATGATGGGTCATTTACTGGAATCAACTTAGTGTTGTCAAAGTTATGAGTAAAAGTATTATTATAGCTTCTCTGTACTAAAGTATAAAATACTGCTACACTCTTATGCTATTACTCAGTTTAATATCTAGCGACAGTACTTTGGTTCTGAGATGGCATGCCTCGTATAAGAAATACACTGAAAAATATAAAAAAAATCTCATACACTTTGCAAGTAGACCAAAAAGACGTAAACAGTAACCCAAATTTATCTTTAGACAATTTATTGATACAGAAGACCAACTGATACACAGACACGTAATCTAGTTTACTTATCAATTGGTGTGCACATGAATGGTGGAGAATACAAGTTGTTTACATTTACTCGGTATATTATTAAAATTGTCTACGAGCTGAAATCATTGTTCAAAAAATCAAACCTCACAACATGTACAATTGAAGTCTACAGTTTAGTTTACAATTCATGCAACAATATTGCACAAAGGCGAAATATATCCCTCGTACGAGAAATATGCTAAAACACGTCCCTGCTCGTATCAACCTGCTGTTTCATTTGGATTTATTTTCTATCACTATGATGATGTCGGCGTACATCCATTTCATTAACACATCTGGAGATTGAGCCTTTATCGACGCATTTTGCGACTAAGGTGATTTATGAGAGCTTTTAAAAGCATAGCCCTACATGATGTAGTGACTGGGAAACTCATTTGAAAGTAGCATGGCAAATTGCTTATTACCAATATCAATAGTGAGTTGTCATACTCAAATTAAGCATCACAAAAAAAAGTATGTGGATATATTTGCCGACTTAATCAAGAACAAAGGTAAAATTTGCTATCCTGCTCTTAATTACACCATGGTTTAATGTGATATTGTTCTTGGTGCTATTCATATTTAATAGAATGTCAGAATGATACAGTGCATATTAAATGAATATCTATATTCTATGGGTTTTGTATGGATGGAATTGATGGCACACATTACTGAAACAGATGCAAAATCAGTGTCAAAGTATTGTAAAATATGTGAATTAAAAGATTAAAATTTAAAGTAGGCCTAATTTTAGACTGGAATTTTTCAATTTTTTTTTCATAACACTAGCAGTAATAAACATTGACAGCAACAATATTATCACAAAGAAAGATGTGTAGTAGATACATATGATTATATCTCTATCTCTGTACCAAAATTTTGTAAAAAAAAAACTGCAAAAAAGATGAATGGTGTAGCTTGCATGTAAACAAAGCTAAAAAAATTAAGTTGGGCAAAATTTAACTTATCAACATACCTGTATATTAATCATAATTGGAAGAAGCTTTCGATTGTGCAATTCTTTGAGCAGACACTCATCCGTGACCATTCTGTGTTCTTTGCACAGAGGACGATAAGAACTCAAGGTCTTAACATGCGCAGATGGTTTTAAGTGATATGATTTTGTTTTGGATCTTTACGTTGTTGCTCAATCAAAAGCTCCCTCAAAGCAATATTAGAAATGCTCTTCGAACCTTGGTTGGAGGCTTAAGTACAACTCACTACCCTGACATGTGCAACAATTCTCAGCCTCGGAAATGAAGTCAATTACACTTTGTACCTCAACTTCAAACACGATAATTGACGCCCTGCCCAGACTATCAAATTTTATTTGACAAAAACATACGACATTCCCAAATATGGTCATGATGACATTACATCATGACCATATATAGGCATACAAAGAAAATTTGATAAACTGGACAAAGTTTAAGAACTCTACAATCCAATTCATGGCAATCTTCCGACAATCTCTCTTATATACTATCAAAATATGAACGACTTTGCTTTTTTTTTTTCTTACAATTAAAACTATCTACACCTTATACAATATTTTACTGATGTCTATCTTTTAGTCTGTGATTGCACTTGGAGAGTAAAAACATTCAGTCAATTTTACAAGCGCCAATAAAACAATACTTTTCCCTTCACTAGTACTAACCCCGGCTCTTTCTAACCAACTATTAAAACATATAACACAAATAGTAGTTTGATAAATATTTAAGGTTCTCCTTGAAGATAACCAAATATAGAATGGTCAATTATAAACTAAAAAATAAAATTTTGTGACAAATATTATGAAGGTTGCCATCCAAAAACTAGCATCAGTGGCAAAAAAAAAATAGAAATTAACTTTTTAATACTTTCTTATTCTCTACATTTTAAGCTTTAAAATGATGTGTCATTTACTGTAATCGACTTACTATTGCCAAAGATATGAGTAAAAGTATTACAGCTTCTCTGTACTAAAAGTATACAATACTGCCATATTATTATGCTAATTAATCAGTTCAACATAACAATAGTATGCTGATTTTCGATTGGCAGTGTGTTACGTTATTGTATGTGTTTGGTACTGAAGCAGACCGCCACGTTAGCGACAGTGATTTTTTCTAACTTTTGCTCGGCATATCATGCCATATTGTATATATTGAGTTTTTATTTTGGAACAAATAAAATGAAATATATGAAATTTTGTATACATACAAAATCTCAAGCACCACTTTACCTAACGTTTTTTTAAGTACCCAATAAAAAACTCCATCAAAAAGTTGGTTTTCAGAACATATTTGTATCCCTTAACAAAACATGAAAGTAAATGATAATTATTTTGCCGATTTTTGTAGTAACATACCAACTATTTAACATCATCTTACTACTACAAACATGATCAATTATTTTAGGTGTACAGTATTTAGGTTTGAATAGTATTCTATGAGAGAACAATATTGTGTGGCATTCAATAAAAAAATTAGTAAAAAAAATCTAAGCAGAAAAAAAAAATGCACATCCTAAAAAACAGTACTACAAAAAAAAGTAATATAATAGTATAAAATTAAGAATCATCGAAGCAATACTGTGATAAAATGCACATTTTTAAGTTAAAATTTCCTTATAAAAGAAATATAAAACATTAAAAGAAATAGTATTTAAAATTATGAAATCAAAGAAATAATACTGAAATAACCAAGAGCCCTTCTGTTAAGCGCGGCTACTTGGATATTGTGTTGCTAAAGACCCATAAAACGATGTGATTATACGTATATTTATGGGACAGCGTGTACGTTTGTAGGACATGCATATTCCTGGATCTGTTCTGATTGGTCATTTGTCAAATTTGACAAGATCCATTAAGCTACAATGTAACAGAATTATGTTTTATACATTGGCTATGTTCAGAATATTACATTACATTAATGTAAAATATAAATAATCCTACAACACACTGATCCAAGTGTGGAGTAATACTATTTCACGATATCCAAGAAATATTTTCTTAAAATCAAAATAATAAAACAAAAATTATTATAATAAATGGATAATGGATATAAAATAACTTATTATTCATTGAGATTAATATGCTCTTTGGTTATTCATTGCTTCTCAAATACATGAGAAGAATCTTGTTTCCAACAAAATCAACTAGTACCAGTATTTACAGAGCACCAACTTAAAATTAAGTCTTCATATATAATATTAAAATTTATTAAGATTCACATTTCGAGAATGTAGTTTGAAATTCCAGATGATAAATAAATATGTTCTGTAAAACCTTAAAATTTCATAAGAGGAAAACAATATTAAAATATAAAAACATAAATGTAAGCAAATAACATAACACGAGTTTTTTCATTATTTTTTGAATTGGAATTTCATGAAATTAAAATCGAATAACTTTTAATCTCAGCATCTACCTCACATTATAAAATTGACTTTGTACAAACTGATGGAGAGAGTAGATACAATTTGAATAAAATAGTCTCAGATTCTTGACAGGGAAGTCATTTTTTATGATTGCACAATTAAATCACTACAAATTTAGTTCTCACTGTAACATTAACAACTACTAATAATTATATATTATTCTAAACATGAACATGTACCTATAATCAATTGCGCACTTCATACACTAATGTGCAATGTTGCTATTGATGCTAAAATGTAATGTGTAGCAAAACCACTCAATTACATCCACTGCAAGATTAATTGGTTAATTATCCTCTTATTGATTAGTCCGACATTTTTTTTTCTCACATACAATAATACAAAATTCATTACCAACCATTCATTGTGGTTATCTACTGTTTTGCCTCTCTGTTAATTTTAAACACAGCCATTGAAAGTGTCAATACCACTATGATTTTTTTTCTAGAACTAATGATTTGTCATAACTTGAATGAATTCTTGAGTAATACTACCATGTTCAAACTACATTCAGTATGAATTTGAGTTAGAAATGTAAAAATCTTGTTGAGTCTCACTCATGTCAGTTCCCGTTAGATGCTATTCCCCTAAGGCATAGCAGATTAGGGCTTAAAAGATAGTGAAGTAAGACTTGGAACCTAGTTAAGTAGGACTTGGAACATAGTTGAGTAAAACGTGGAACCCAGTTGAGTAGGACTTGGAACCCAGTTGAGTAGGACTTGGAACCTAGTTGAGTAGGACTTGGAACCTAGTAAGACTTGGAACCCAGTTGAGTAAGACTTGGAACCCAGTTGAGTAGGACTTGGAACCTAGTTGAGTAGGACTTGGAACCTAGTTGAGTAAGACTTGGAACCCAGTTAAGTAAGACTTGGAACCTAGTTGAGTAAGAATTTGCAACCTAGTTGAGTAAGACTTGGAACCTAGTTCAGTAAGACTTGGAACCAGTTGAGTAAGACCTAGCCTAATAAGAGTTCAGAGTTGAGGAAAGTCTTCAGTTGAGAATTGGAAACTAGGTAATTAAGTCCTGGAATTTAGTAACTCTTTACTTTAGTGAGAAGTTGGAACTTAGCTAGGTAATACCTGGTTATTGAAAAGCTGACCGTAGACTTTAGCACACAATAAAGACTTGAAGACAAAAAGTTTTGACAATGTATGGTTGATATTTGAGTAAGACCTAGCCTAATAAGACTTCAGAGTTGAGGAAAGTCTTCAGTTGAGAATTGGAAACTAGGTAATTAAGTCCTGGAATTTAGTAACTCTTTACTTTAGTAAGAAGTTGGAACTTAGCTAGGTAATACCTGGAACCTAGCCAAGTAACACTTGAATAAAATTTACGGCCAAGTTGAGTATGACTTTGGAGTTAGTAGCTGAGAAAGACTCGGAATCTAATTGATGACAACTTTGAGGCTAGTGCAGTATGACGTATACAGTGGTAAAAGTTCAATCTAACTCTACACACAAAAAACATAGTTATGTATCCATATTATGTTGCAGTTACACTTTTTACAATATAGATGATTAAACAGGACAAAAAATAAAGTACCAATAATACCAGTATTAACAATGTTAGATTATCCATAATGAATACAATACTACACTATTAGGAATTTATGAAATATCAAATGCGTCTAATAGTTCGAAAATATTAGAAGCAGCATCTAAAAGGGGAATTACACTTTGGTTACCACAGCTACAGATTATTCTTATTCATTAAAGCTATTTCAAAATTGGGCGGTAATGTTTGAAGAAATTTAAAAAGAACACAAACTCAAGGTAAAACTAAGAATCTATAATCTACGACAGACTATCCTGATGATGTGGGTTTTGGACAACTTTTAAAAGATCTAATAAAAATTCAGTTTGCTGATCACTATTAAAATTGTGGCCTCAAAAATTCATAAAATGGATTAAAATATGCATATAAATAAGTAACGGCTAAACATGTTCTACTCTACATCAGTTTATCTTTATATTTAAAATTGTTTTGTAGGACATCTCTCTGAGAATTGTGCCTCTGTTACAAAAATGAGCCAATAAGGGAATAAATCAGATATACTTTGTTTAGTTCTTATATGAGATCACTGAAGAATCTCCATGAACTTTCTAAATTAATCTGTTAGTCTTTTCCTATTTTGTCTTTCCAAGATGTAATTTGTTTTTTGCTAGGGTTGAATTTTACATGGCTGTCTATAACATACCAAACAAATACAGCAAAGGAGCATGGTAAAACTACTTAAATCCAAATGTGACTGAGCCAAGCTTGTTAGAACACCTAGGCTAAACAGTGCTACAAAAATATTTACAAGGGTCTTTTTATGCTGAAATTATTTTTTGTTGTAATTACTTTAAGGCTTTGCAAAAATTAGCTCGGGAAAAAATTTCACTTTTCTGCAAAATATATAAAAATAACCAAATTTTAAGCTTCACTAACATGGTTTGATATTTCTACATACAATTTGTTGCTATTAAAATTCTTTTCGGAGAAAAAAACAATACATTTTTATTTGGTTATTGAAAAGCTGACCGTAGACTTTAGCACACAATAAAGACTTGAAGACAAAAAGTTTTGACAATGTATGGTTGATATTTGACCTTGCTACCATGGAAACAAGTTTTCATGACATCACTTCAAAACTTCTACGTCGGACACAATACTAAGGAGAGAGAAAACAATTGATCATAGTGAAAATAATATAAAAGAAAAACTAAAAATGCTACAGCTGGCTTTTCATGGGTAAAGATAATGTCTTTAGCATGTCCCTTAACCAAGGTAATTCAACAAAAGGACGCACATCTCGGGACATCAAAGGTTATAACTCTGGCATCGACATTCTAGGCGCACGTGCGTCCCTACACGCTGAACGTCACAAAAACCATAGCAACCAGACTATAAACCGTCAGCGTACGTGACGATTTACCCACGCGCGTGTTAGTTGCCATGTTAGTCGCGCGTCGTGCGGTGATTGCAAAGGCCTAATGATATTTTGCACTAACATTAGACTGAAATATATTCTTCATTTCAACATTAATTTTACCAAAATTGTGGTGAATTGTCGTTCATGAGACTCACTTCGCAGAAAAAATTAATAAATGTTCCGTATATCTGTCTCTTATACACATCTAGATGTGTATAAGTGACAGATTAATGTTACATAAGAACATGAAATTTTATAAAATTTGTAAATTTTGAATTGCTATAACTTTTCATTTTCTTGGTCAATTTTCACAAATCAAATTGCAGTTTATAGAAGCATTTAACAAGCTCGCGGTAAAAAAAAATCAAATGTAACAGACATTGCGAAGTACCCAAAATTAATAAAATAAAAACTAATACCATAAAACGAATGGCACGCATAGACTAATAATTGACGGCTGTACTCGCAACTAGTATCGGATTGTCGATGCCACAGTAAAGATCAAAGGACTGTACGCACGCGCTATGTTCGAGAGCAGAGATGTGCGTCCTTTTGTTGAATTACCTTGCCTTAACCACTTTATCATTTTGTACTCTCGTGAAAATTATAAAGATAATGTTCTACCCTACAGTACATTACACATGAATATTTAATTACCTTTGAGTATATAATTGGTAAGAAGATCTGGCACTTCTTTACTGTCTTCATCCATTGCTCGGAGAACTGAAAAAATAAAAACAATTTTAATTTACAGTTATAGTCAGATATCATGCATGCATGCGTATAGTCAGAATATAAACTCCTTAGTATCACAGTCTTCATAAAACCACGGTTCAGTGTTAGCTGTAGTACCACTGTACTTAACACCATATGTAGTACTAACGAAATTCTTACAACCACCATCATTCTGCAACCATTATTAGCAGTAATACCACCAATTTTACTAGCAATGGAATCATCGTAACCATTACAAAACAACCACAACCAATACTGTCACTATGTACTACTACTACAACATTTAGCAGTGACCAACAAACACAACCACTACCAACACACCACCCCCATCACACTATTAGCGCCAAAACGAGAGTTTGAAAACAGGTATATTACAACCACCATAAAAACCATCACTATTGGTACTGTGCCAATACCATAATATTTAGCAGTGACCAACGACACCACCATTACACTATTAGCGCCAATACCTAGAGTTCAACACGTCTGTTACAACCACCATAACGCTACACTATGGTACTATACCAATACCAAAAAATTTAGCATTGACCAACAAAATCTTCACAACCACAACCAACACACCGCCACCATTACACTATTAGCGCCAATACCAAGAGTTCAACAGGTCTGTTACAACCACCATAACACCATCACTATGGTACTATACCAATACCAAGATATTTAGCATTGACCAACAAAACTTTCACAACCAATACACCACAGCCATCACACTATTAGAACCAATTCAATAACAGAATATTACAACCACAATCTCCACATTGTTATAACCAGCATTTTTAAAGAATATTTGAAACATACTTTTGGTGACAATCTGTAATGTCTGAATGTTTGGTGGTCCTCTTGGCTTATTGTATGGTATTCTTGTGGTTAGATACTGGAAGAAACATTTTAAAATAATATTTATTTTTTTTAAATCAAAAACATTTGTACAATAGCAACCCAAATAGTTGAATTGGAGTACTATTAAAAACATCAGAAAAAAAGTGAAAAACTATTAAGAAAATACAGTAGGAAACATAAAAAATGTAATTAAAAACATAAAAAAGAACAATATTTATAAATATCAATATATTAAAATCATTATAAAAAAAGCAAGAAAAACAGAGCAATTTACAATAGTCACTTAAAAAAAAAATAAACAAAATGATCAAGTATATACAATATAGAAAACATAAAAAAGAACAATTCATTAAATATAGTATCATTTTCATCTTAGTACTTTAATAAAACTATGACAGCAAAAGCAATTTTAGCCAGAAAATTTTTTTTTTCTAATAAAATAAAAGAAACTTACAAGGCCAGGTTCCACACCGTTCTTTCCTTTCTTGCCCTGTTTTTTTACCTTCAGCGACTTCTGTTTATTCTGTACCTTTACCAACGCAGAAATAAACTGGTTCTTCATCTCTTTTTCAAACTCTAGTTCTTCCCGAAGGGCGAGGTCGTGCACCAACACTTGTGAATAGTCCTTAATAGTTTGGTCAAGTTCCTCCAGCAGTTCGTTCAACGCTTGCAATGACATGGTCTTCAGTTCTGAAAATAAACATTGAAATTTATTAGCCATCCATAAACATCTGGAAATATGATTAATAAAAAAAGATAATGAAAACAAATCCACAATGTGACACATACTAGACAACCATCAGACATCTGAGAAACAAACTAATAACAGACAAACATTATAAATAAGCATACAATAAATATTTATTAGAATATTAATAATAAATAATATTTATAGCCCAAATATAAATATTTCTAGTCTAGGATCTATGTTTATGTAATTATATAGGTGGTGGAACAAGTAAAACCATACCAGAATACCCCAAAAAAAAGAAAAATTATAAAAGGCTTGTACGTCTAAATATATGCATGCCCACAACCATCAACTAAGGCATACAAGCACAATTTTGAATTAATAATTTTTGTAATCTGTATACATGATTATATTATTGCATTTTAATGGAAAACGGCAAGACACGCATATCATTGTTTTGTGTACAGATGCATGCTTCCCCGATCTAAAGAATCGTCTAATTAGATTATAATACAAGCTCCATCCATAAAGCTACGCTCGGGGTATAAGGTAACTGTTTATGTTTCCTTACAATCAAAATACAACACCATTTGTGAAAGAAGCAGGCTGGGTAAAGTAGTATTTATCATAAATCCATACACTAACTTGATTAATGATATAATAAAGTAATGTAAATTATTGATTGAAAATTGAAATAATTGTAAAATGTATAAATACATAAATAAATGTTGAACAAAATATAAAACTCGAATGAAAATATCTTAATATAATGCTTAATGATGAAATTGATTAACATATTGTTAATTAATAGTTTATTTTTTGTTTGGTCAACAAATGGAAATTTAGCCTGTAGGTTTAGTTTATCAATATTTGAATATTCTTTAGAGCAAGTAATCAGGGCCAAATTTTAAAAACAAAAACTAAATTAAATATACAGTATGATACATTATTATTGTGTAATTATCTATAATTGTTTTTTTAATAATATAACAAAAAAATTATTGTTTTATTTATTTTATTTTCATTTCTCTGGTCATTTTTCTCAATACTCCAAGTTTGGAATTAGAAATTTAGCTTAGTCTTGGCATCCCACATTGGCCACTGTGTTGCACTAGTACAAATGTGTACCACATACCTTGTTAATTTTCCCGCCCAACTCTCAGAATCCATTAATTTTGAATTTTTATAAAGATAAAATATTTTTGTTAATTATTTTTTTGTAGAATTTTAATATAACTCCATAATAAATATGATAATGGTGTATTATATTGTTCCATACAATCAGATAATATTGTTATGCAATTAATAATTGAAAAAAAGAAACATTAAATAATAAGAAAAAAAAAAGAAAATTTAGACACTGAAATGCTGAGTGTACTGAAACTATGGAAAGCAAAAATGGCACAAATTTGAACAGTAAAAGCACAATATAAGAAGGCACAGAAGCAAATAAAAAAATTTCAAAATAAACAAAAATGCTAAAAGAAATCAAATACCTTGCCATCCATCTGTGTGCAAGTTTGGAAAATGAAAAGAAAAACAAAGAAAAACAAAAGAAAATTAAATGCTAAATAAAAGCAACAACTTAAAAAAAAAATAAAGGTTGCACATCCGATAAACACCCTCTGCTCACAATGGTATGATCCTTTATCAGTAACTATAGAGTTAATGTCAAGTGTAAAGGGGAATAAATATAATATAAAAAGTCTCAACTATCAAGTAACCTACTTTTTATCCCTTCTCTCTTTTTTTAATACGATAAGACACATCAATACGAAAATAAGACCACTCATATAATATTTACAACCTCTGTTACTATAACTATGCCTGATATACAAGGGGTCCTCCAAGTATCTCCCGGAGAATAACCAATCTCCTGCAAATTCATAGTATTTGCATACTGTCACTGCTTTATTATCAATTTCTCACGGATGGGTATTACATTGTGCAGCAAAATAAAATTACCGGAAATATGTTAAGAAAGCTCATTAACCAGATCAGTGGCAGATTCAAAAAGGAGGGGGGGGAAATGAGGGGCAGAGAAAAAATTATATTCAAATTTAAGTCCGAGAATATGATTTGTGGCCATCTAGAGGTGCAATAATCATACATTTTCTTACCTCAGCCCCAACTATGGCAAGGTCTAGACCCTCCATCTGTGAAGAAAGTCCCTCCCTAGGCCAATATTTCAAATTCTTGAATCAGCCACTATAGAACTCACGAAACTAACTTTTTCTAGGTTGGCGCACCGGTTGTGGCTTGGACTCCCAACCTTGAGGTCGGGGGTTCGAAACTCTGGCTGTCCAAATCGCTTGTGTCCTTGGGCAAGGCACTTTATCTACGGTTGCTTCCCTCCACCCAGGAGTACAAGTGGGTACCTGGTAGGTTCCAACACAACCTGCGCTGATTACTAGCTGCAATTTATGGAATGATAATATAATTTCGTTTACTAATTTAATTTGGTGTTTCAATGTGTTCCATATGTGTTTGATCCAATGACCGGGGTAGTAATGTGAAGCGCTTAGAGGCCTTGTAAAGGCATGAAGCGCTATATAAGAACGACATATTATTTATTTATATACTACTACTACTACATTACTACTTTTTGGATTGTCAATCAAAATTATTTCCATTATCCATTCATGTGCTGTGCTGTTAATGCTACTCTGAATATGAAATTAGAAATAAATTATGATTCACAATAAATTGACTTCAAATATAAAGATGAATGTAAATTTTGATTAATCTATTGACAATAGACTTCTCCAGAATGTCAAGCAAAAACCTGACCAATCAGAATAGGTTCTAAAATTCTAAAAATGCGGGGCTAGGACTATGCTTAAAAACCGTAAGGAAGATGCGCATTATAAATGCCCGTACCAGTCCAAGTAGGAATTAAAGCATTTAAAAATTTATATTGTACATTATGGATGTCGTTTTATTGGACATTTGGCAAAAATAAACAATGGGCGGGGCTTAGTTGGAATGTAGCAGAAAGAAGCAGATTCACCAGACCTTACATTATATTTACAAAAATATTTATGTATCACATGTGTACATTATTAATTATTATATAATATTACAATATAATGACAGATACACCTTCAGGGCTTTTATCCATTAATTGTAAATACCTCTTATTAGTTATATCCATGTGAATATATCTTATTTCATACGTGTCTGAGTTCCTGTGTCTAGGAGAGTAATCACCATACAGATGGCCTAGTTTTCGATTACCCACATTTCAGACATATTCTCCATCAACCTTATCATGGCATTCATTCAAATTACTCCTTCTAGTACAGTATTAATGCATTGTCTGTCCACTGTGGTTTGTCAACATTTTTCTTAGTATTTCCATCATCTTTACTATCAGCATATCATACATCATGATTATTATTATCATTATTCAGTGGCGGATCCAGGAATTCAAAATAAAGGGGGCCCCGGGCAGGTACTCTTACAGATGGAGGATTTACAGTATACCAACTCAGCCCCACTATGGTTGGGGCCAAGGTAAGAAAATTTGTGATTATGGAAATTGCACTCTCAGACTTTAAATTTTGAATATAATTTCCTTTATATAACCATTTAAAAAAAAAAAATTGAACAATTTGGG